TGTGAACTGAACAAATAGCATAGCATTGGCAACTATGTAGAATTCATGCTGTCCTGTGTGAAAAGTAGGGGGAGCGTGTCTAAATATTATAGCATTCCATTATTTGGGGAATAAATGGACATGGTGAGGAGAAGTATACAGTATATCTCAAAGATTTTTAAAGCTGGGGTTCAGGTGGGTTTTATGGTGAAATGCTTCAGCTGTCTGTATGTGTATAACTAATGTGTGTGTCATATTCAGTGTTTCCAGCATAAGATCTGTGATTTTTCTGTCACTTGAGTTGTTCTGCAAACATATCCAGTTGTATTACATTTCTGAAAGTCCTGTTTCTGTGGATAAAACTGTAGTAGATGCTTTGCTCCTTCTCACTTAGTATGTTCTTTTGTGCAGATCATCAATTCCAGCAGTTCCAGTAATACTGTATGTTCCCTTCTGCAATAACCTGGCCCTGCCAGGCTCTTTCCAGTGCCACTGGTGTCACAGCAGCATAGTCACAGGCACTGCATGAATCACAGAATCATAGAGTCATTAAGGTTGGAAAAGACCACTAAGATCACCTAGTCCAACCATCAGTCCATCCCCACTGTTAGTTTAAAGTTGTGACACCTGGCAAGAAAGCAATCTAATGCAAAGATGTACCTTTCACAGGTCTGCTAAAAAGAATCCAGCAAAACAAACTAAAATTTAATCAAATTACATTATTTTGAAAATTACATTCTAGGCTCTCTTTTAGAGCTTCATTTTCTGATGATTTTCACTGTAAAAAGATTTAGTATAGCTGTAGCAAGTAATCCAAAGTATTTTTATTTTTTTTCATCCCCACAAATGATCTGAACTTTAAAGATTGAAATTTGGAAAGGCTGGAACTGGCTGAAAGAATGAACTAAATGATTCTATTATTCTAAATGGAAGACAGAATTTATGAAGTCTGAGAGAGGGTGAAAGCAAGAAAAAAAGCAAGCAAGGAAGTATTTGCTTCCTGATCTGAAAACTGAAAAACTCTGTCATCTTCTATGATCTTCATACCCTACTTTGTACAGACTCAGTGTTCCTGATGTGTCCTGAGGGTTGCTACTGAGTTTCGATGTTGGATAAGTCTTCAGTTAAAAGAAATCCTGGAGATGGACCATAGCTTGGCTAGTGTGTGAGAAATGTGCAAGAATTTGCCAGGATTGACAAAGAAATGGGGCAATGGGAGACTCCTAAATGAAGTCAGTAAAGTCGGGGAGCAGACACCAAATGGAGATACTGGTGAAGAGGCTCCACAGAGATTGCTGACTGGGATGGTAGCATCAGAGCAGATGCAGATTTGTAGATGACACAGATTGGTGGTGCATGTATTAGTGAGGGGAAGACTGTCACTGCACAGTATGCTCCCTGAGAAGCATGGAACTCTTTGTTACTGATGTAGGTCAGTACTTCAGTGCCAGGAGTGCATGCAGGCTCTGAGAAGAATGTACAAGTCTTGAAGCATAAGTAATTTAGCATGAGATCGTGGAGCTGCTGCGCAGAAAAAGCGCAGGCCTGATGTGTGTGAACAGTGGAGTAGTAAGAGTGCGAGTACCAGTGCTGTGCCAGTGCCAGGGAGCTCCAGTACTGGTGAAATACTGAGAGAGTGGGAGGGGATAAAAAAAAAAAAGACACAGTTTGCAGTTGTCCAACTGTGGGAGGCACAGAGACCTCCTAAAGGAATTATTCTGCTCAGTTGTGTGTGAAAGGCTAATAAATGACAAATTTAAAGTGTGCAGATTTTTTGATGCAAACAACTTATATACATATACTGAGTATTAAAGAAGAGAGAAGCACTATCTCAGACTGAGAGAGATCCTGAGAAATTTTGTGCATGTGCACACACCCCCATAGATTTTATATATGCTATGTATATCCATACATACATTTACACATTTATAAATACATATATTAAACCAAACAACAACGAAACAGGGCTTTTGCCATACAACTTCTATGTGAATCTAAGAAAATGCTTTTGTAAGGCAAGTGTTTCTCTTCAGTCATAGAGCACTGTGCTCAGCACTGGCAGCACCAGTTTATCTAAACTACGGTACTGGCTTCTATTACTGGAGACCCCTTGGGATTTTGATATCTCTCCTATTTGTTAGAACACTTAAAGGTCAGAACAGCGAACGTGTTGATCTTCTGTTTACCATACTTTCAATCCCAAGTATCTCCTAGCAGCACTGCAGTCACTTAAAATAGTTCGCCTAAATACAAAAGATTAGTACTTACCCTCTGGTTTTCATATTTTCTCATTAAATTAAGAAATCTCTTAATGCCAGTTAAGAGATAATCACTTCTACAATATTTGAGGTAGCATAACTGCAACTCTTTTGCACATAAGTAACCTTATAGAAAAATGGGACTTTTCGGGTACTTCTGGCTTTTATTTTATGTGTTTGGCATGTATGCTGCTGCTGTGTAGTACCAGGAAGGCAAGTATAGGAATGCTTGAGTGAATTTTTTTAGGGAACTGAACAAATCAGATCAACCTGTCAAGGAATTTCGATAGCTGATTCTAAACAGTAGCTAATAATGTGTATGAAACACTGGGAATTCATGTTTGCAGTTTTGTTGTTGGTTGTTTTTTTGGTTTTTTTTGCTTTTCTTAAAGTGATTTATTTATTTGTTTTGAATGTCTCCTTTCATAGTGACTGATGCTGAACAAATCGCTGCAGGTGGATTCAGCTCCAGTCATCCAATGTGCCAGTAGCATTGGGATTGCATCATACAAATTGATGTTATGGGAAATAAATCAACAGGCTTGAATCAAGTGGCTGTTACCTTCTGGCACTGTGGTGAAAGAAGGAGGTTAATTTGTGAGCTCTGGAAGATACTGCCTGTGTCCTAGTTGGTGTCACCTGTCTGTGACCCATGTGGTTTATTGTCTGGCAAAAAAAAAAGTTTTGGTTCATCTTACTTGAATAAGTTTCCCATTGCGTTATAGTGAAGCTCAAGGGCTAAGCACCTGTGGAGAGGATTTGCAGTGAGCTGCAGTGCTCTGACCCAGAAGCTGTGCTGCTTGGGAGTCAGATGCTAAATGAGTAGGGAAAAGTCTTCTTCCCAGCTTGGGAAAAAAAGAAGTCACAGCTGATGAGAGAGAGGCCATTGCCTGTCATTATCTATCACAGGGTGGGAATGGTGTTATGTGAAAAAGTTGTAGTCAAATGTCTCTGATCTACTTCTCCCTACCAGCGCATGAATTAATTTTATGAGTAGAGAACATTGGTGATCAGCTTCTGTAGAGAAAGATTTGGACTTCATCATGAAGAGATGATTCTGCCTGGGTTAAAATAAAGGTTTTGTGGACACAGAGGTGGAATGGCCTGAGGTGTCTGCTGTGTGCTTCATCACCCTTGACCTGTTGTTAGCTGTACCTGGACTTTTACCCTTTAATTGTTGAGTTGTGCTCGGTTACGCTTGCCTTCATCCAGTCCTTCTTCCTTTCTAGGCAGCCCAACTTTGTTTCACAAGGTATTTCTGGCATCTTGTTACTATGGTGGTTCCGTGCTGTTAGGCATAAAAGTGCAAATATCACCTTAGTTTATTTGGAGAGGAATTTTTATGAGATTATTGCCCTCAGCTGGTCACAGCTTGGTCTCAGGTTTTCACAGTAACCTGATCTGTGCAGTTATGATCTTTTTCATTAGTAACATAGGAGCTTTGGAAATAAAAACCAAAGGAGTACATATGTGTCTAGTATTTTTAGAAGATATTTGTAAGGAAAAAAAAAAAAATTAATAACAAAATAATGCATTCAGCTTTCATGGTGTCTGCATGATGGTGTCATGCAGTATTTTGTTCATCTTTGTATTTTTCGGTCTTGTAGCTTTGTCCTTCTTGGAGGACTTGAAACAAAAATGCATTTACTATGGGGCTTAATGTTACTCTGTTTGATTTTGTTCATGTAGTCAATGTTTTATGATAATCTGTTGTCTAATAAGCTAGCTCTACCTCTTTTCTTTGGGCTATCCACAACAGGTTCAGGAATTACCCTGTTTGTAACTGTGTTAACTAGTCACCGTATTCCAGGAACCTCAACAGATGTTTAGGAAACATTAATGTTAACTAAAAATATTTCTCAAAGAGGAACAAATATTTTTCCAGGTGTATCAAGATAGCGCATAGCTTTGATATCAAAGTATGCTACCTGTGTCTCTGTTTTATGTACAACTTCAGAGATAAAGCTGTTCTATAGATATTTTAATTTTTGTGAAAACTGGACTTCTGTTTAACCATGTGCACTACATCAAGTCAGGTTTTTTGTTATTTCAGCTGCTTCAGTTTGATAGCCTTTGCAGAGTTGTTTCTACTTCCTGGGATTTCTTAGGCTTTTTGTATTTTCTTTTTTCAATACATGAAAATGTCATATGTAAGTACTGGTCCAGCCTAGTACTGTCAGTGTGAACGTGTAGAAGAGGGTTACCAAAATGTGCTTACTGAGGGATTAACTTGTGAACTTAATCGTAGAGTCTCCCACTACACTTGGGAACAAGCTTAATTCTTTCTTTCTGCCTCCACAGTGACATGCAGATGTGTTGTGTTCTCTTTTTATCCCTGGTGATATTCTGCCTTCATGGGATTTTTCACATAGCATTTGTAGGTTTCTTGGGATGAAGGTTTCTCATTGCTGGTGTGATGGCTTTGAGTTCCAGTTCCTGCTGCATGGTATTTTTCTCCAAACAGCTACCAGATGGATAAATGTGTGCATTCATCTAATGTGTTTGTATTCCAAGGGATTATGTTAAGAGAAATGCATGTCAGGGTATGGGCACCAATCTTTAAGTCACTGTAGCTAAAACATACCCACACATAAGGAATAAACGAAGTTTTGCTTCCATGAAAGGTCTTGGGCAGCAAAATCTGATCCTTACAAAAACATGTCAGGAATATTTATTGGCAATGTGTAGTTTCTGGAGTCAATATTAAATATGCACTTGGCACCTTTGGGTAGTATTTTTCAAAGAGATTTGTTATTTTCTTAGCAGGTTGAAGTTGAAGTTTATCGAAGAGATTCCAAGAAGCTTCCTGGGCTGGGAGATCCTGACATTGACTGGGAAGAGAGTGTCTACTTGAATCTCATTCTACAGAAGGTAACAGTGATGCTTACTTAATTTTCACATGTTGTTAATGGTGCAAGGGTTTAAGGGAAAGCTTTAATCTGTCCACTTTCCTCTCTACTATTGGGAGGATTGATGATTGAACATTTGATTGAACATGAATGATTGAACATTTCTGGAAAATGGAAACAAAACATGTTTTTTGCTTTTGTTAGAGTCTGAATGAACAAAACCAGGAATAATTGTTCTTTTCTAGTAGAGTCATAAGAGCTTTCTTCAAAATCTTTGAATATATCCAGTAAAGCTGAGCTGAATATTATCTGAAAGCTCTGCAGAATGGAAGGCTTTGTCAAGTATAATAGTTTTTGAGTGTGAATAACTATTTGACCAGCAGTGATTTCGTTAGTTCAGCCGACAGAGGGAACTGCTAAATGAAACCGCAATGGGATTTTTCTGCTGTATACATCAGAGCTTTATTAAGCCTTTTCTTTCTGTTGGTGGAAAGATGAAACTAGCACATCCTATTTTTTTTAAATTATCTTGTGTTGTTCAGTTACTGTGTGTCATGTTGTTGCTTTGAGAAGGTGAATGCTGTTGGAGTCTTTCCAGATCTCTGAGAAGTTTTGTTGATTATGGTTTTAAAATGAGGCTGCTGCCTCATTGCGCACATCCTGGAGAATAAATTTTTTATTCTCTCCCAATCTTTCTCCCCTTCCTCCCAGAACTCAAATTGCAGAAGTTCACTGCAAAGAGTGTTTTCTGTATGTATTTGGTGTTGATTTAAAACATAATCTGTCAGAAGCACTACAGTCAGAATTTGGAGATGCTGCTACAGCTGAACACTGCTGTCCAGAGCTGTTACACATGCACATTCTAAGTGTTCTTGGGTTGTTTGGCAGGCTGCATCAATGCATTCTGATCTTTTTCATTTTTGCTTATGTTGATTATTGATTTCATTATGCCCCTTTTGAAAGGAGGAAATATTTTCCATTTCTACTGTAAAGTGTTCTGTGTGTTATGCTCATTCTCCACTTGACCAGTTGGCTTTAGTGTTAAACAATACTGACAGATGTTTCTTTACCCATAGGTTGTGCACTCTAGCAAGCATCTTCATAGAAGATTTTTTCAGCGTTGCTGAGTTAGCCCACAAATTTATGGTTTTTTATTATCAAGAAAACTGTAGGGGTTTCAGGATGATAAAGAGAATAGCAGTACCAAAACATTTTACTACTTAGCCAGAGAGCTGAAAGAGATGAAGATGGAATGTGTTCTGCTATGTACACTTTATTTTTCTGACTTTAAAACTTCATTTTTCTATCTGTTGTCCTTGTTTTAGCTGGATTATGTGGTGACATGTGCTGTGTGCACACGCTCCGATGGAGGAGATATTCACATTCACAAAAAGAAATCTCAGGTGAGATTACCCTATTCTTACTGTGGATAAGAGGTTGGCATCCAGTATTTGCTAATCCTAAAAATTGTATCAACACCAGCACAGCAGTTCTCATGCTGTGCTCTGTCACAGTTTCATCCTGCTGAACCAGCTCAGGTCTGCCTGCTGATAAATCTTAGCAGTCTGCTAAATGTGGGATCTAAATGTACATTATAGCCCATCTCAAAAAGCCATAAAGACCTCTCTGCACTCTCAAGATTTGTATCTTTGCTTAGTGGATTTGCAAAAAGTGAGCTGAGAGGAGTATGTCTGACTGTTAGGGTGAAATCAGAGGTTCACCCAGTTTGTACAAGTCATGAGTTTAAAAAAAAAAAAAAAAATCCTGCAGGATACATTTGTAATGTAGGTATATTAAACAGTAGGCAATTTACTGATTGGCATCTTATCTTTTTATTGCTTTTTATGCAGTTCCTATTTTCTTCCTTAAATTGCTTATTCCTTACATCAGCCCACAGAGGACTTTCATAGCTGATGTGTGTAGCATACAGTTAATCCAAGGTTTAACATAGGGGAGGAGACTGAATGATAAGCATGAAGTGGATGGGAATAAGAAACCCTAGACTTCTTCACCCATTTTTTCAGCAGTTCTTGCAATACTTTTTCCTGGTTGACAGAAATTCAACTCTAAAAGGTTTCTGTTGCATAAACTGTTCATCCCAGAGATTTCAACTTCTTTTGTTCTCTCAGCTGCTTGTGTGGCTTTAGCTAAAATAAGTCAGTGTTTTAAAATCCTTTAACCAGTTTTACTTCATTGAAATAAATTGTTTTGCCTACAAAGAAAACTAGCACTGCTGATTATTTTATTTACAATTTGCACGTTGGGCACAAAAATCCCTCCTAGTTTAAGGAGGGATCCCTAGTCAATGTTGTAACGTGTTGCTGTTAAGGCAACAAGTCTTTTATTTCTCATTACTGTTTCTGCTGTATACAAGTTCAGATTTCACCCTGAGTTAACTTCTGCAAAATTCTTTTGAGAAAAACAAATCTGTAAATATTGAGCGTGCCTTTGAAAACTAGGAAGATGAGAATAAGAGGCCTGCCCAAAGCACTTGGGCAATGTTCTGTGGAAGAGTGAGGTTTTCTCTTCCTCATTTCTTGAGGCTCATAATGTGAGGCTGCTTACAAATTTTGCTTTGTTTCTTCCTATCTAGGAGAAACTAGGAACATTAAAATTTACCTGGACATCCTAATATTGTGAAGCTGTTGTATAGAGAGAGGAGAAAGGGCAATTCTGTGTACTGTAGAAAGCATGTTTGCATTAGGACATTATATTGAAACATGCATGAATCAACTTCTTAAGATCTATATTACTGTTCTGATTGTTGTGGCTTTAGAAAGTATATATTATGGGTTTTTTGTTTTGTTTTTTTTTTCTTTACATTGTATGGCATAGGAACAAAGATGCCTTGAAGATGTCCTTGTTTCAGGCATCAGTCCAAGAAGCAGCAGAATTTCTTTTTAGTAATCTATGTGTAAATCATGTATTTGGTTGAATGGCTTGGAATAAGGATGTCCCAAGCTTGACAGCTTGGGTGAATTCAGATCTTTTAGCCCATGGTGAATGCGTTGAGGAAACTTGGTGTGTTTCTTTTAATTCAAAGCTTTGTAAACAGAAGTGGAAACAAAGAAAGCTACTTAGTATAAATTCCTCTCCTTTTTAAGCTATTTGTAGTCCTGTTGGACTGCTGAAATCTAAAGCTGTCAGCTTTTTAAATGTTAGTAGTTTTGGAGAGGAAATGAACAAAGAGGGGATGAGGAATTGCTTCAGAGGGGGAAGACTGTACTACAGGAAGTACGGTGGCGAGGGAAAGAAACAGAAGCGGAAGGTGGGGATGAGAAATTGAGTTCCTGTTTTCTTGAGAGCCCTCATGTCTCATTACTGAGTAATACTGGTCTTATTGTGAGACTGAGCAAACAACAACATTCATTGTACAGTGTCAGGTCAGCAGCTTCACAGTAACTCTCTTGCTGTGTTTGTGATTTTACATTACAGCAGACTGCATTAACTTAACGACAACTCAGGATGGTTTTTGGTTAATGAAAAGCATTGCCATAGAATCACAGAATCACAGAGACACCAAGGTTGGAAAAGACCTACAAGATCATCCAGTCCAACCATCCACCTATCACCAATAGTTCTCACTAAACCATGTCCCTCAACACAAAATCCAAAAGTTCCTTGAACACCTCCAGGGTCGGTGACTCCACTGCCTCCCTGGGCAGTCCATTCCAGTGCCTGACCACTCTTTCAGAAAAGTAGTATTTCCTAACAACCAGCCTAAATCTCCCCTGGTGCAGCTCAAAGTCATTCCCTCTACTTCTATCACCAGTTACATGAGAGAAGAGGCCGACCCCCAGCTCACTACAACCTCCCTTCAGGTAGTTGTACAGAGCAATGAGGTCTCCCCTGAGCCTCCTCTTCTCCAGGCTGAACATCCCCAGCTCCTTCAGCAGCTCCTCATAAGCCCTGTGCTCCTGACCCCTCACCAGCTTTGTCACCCTTTTTTGAATCTGCTCCAGGGCCTCAATGTCTTTCTTGCAGTGAGGGGCCCAAAACTGGACACAGTACTTGAGGTGCCAAAGCTGAGTACAGGGGGACAATCACTTCCCTGCTCCTGCTAGCAATGCTGTTTCTGATGCAAGCATGAGAGGTTGGTGAGAGCTCAGATGCATACAGAAACATCTACCGTGAATTAATTGATTGTTTGCACATGAAAACTCATGAATTTCATGAGTGGAAGGTTCTGTCATTATTGTAAGGGGAGCTTTGCTTTCAGGATGTCCAACCTAAGTGCAGGTGTTGGCTGACTGTGCAGTGTTGACCATGGTGTTTAGGCATTGCTTGCCTGAAAATTGATGTGCCTGTTCCTGGGCACATTTAACTGAGAAGATGTAATTTTCTTTTTCAATATCTTTCTCAGCAAGTGTTTGCATCTCCTAGTAAACACCCAATGGATAGCAAAGGAGAAGAGTCAAAGATTAGCTATCCCAACATATTCTTCATGATTGACAGTTTTGAAGAGGTGAGTTACTTGCTGCAGTGGGGTTTTGTCCTATACTGGTCTAATATCCTAAGGAGTTGTTTTCTGGCACTTTTGAAGAAATACTTTTGGCTATTTGAATATTGTGCAAGTCATGGTTATTATATATAGTATACATAGTGTGTGTGTTGTGTGTGTATATATACACTATATATATGAGATCTTCCTCATTATTTAATATCTCTGAAATCTGGATTTAGAGCTTTGGTGTAAGTCTTTTATGAAGGATTGAAGCAAGAGAGGATGATTTTAGGAGATGCCTATCCTAATGCATGATGTGCAGTGAGTACTGTCTAGAGTCTGTGATCTTTGGAAAGGCTGGGATGGAGCCTGCAGATTCCTTGCATTTTCCCATTGACATTGAATCTGCGTTAGACATAAGGAGAGGGAATCTGAAAGTATTTGAACTTCGACAGCTGCAATTTTCCTTTAAGTGTTTTGTCTTGCATCATCCAGGTTTTCAGTGACATGACTGTGGGAGAAGGAGAAATGGTCTGTGTGGAGCTGGTGGCCAGTGACAAAAGCAACACTTTCCAAGGGGTGATTTTCCAGGGATCCATCCGCTATGAAGCACTCAAGAAGGTCTATGACAACAGGGTAAGGTGATCTGATCAACAACGTCTTGTAGCAGTGATGTTAACCATAGTTTTGGTACTGAGATTGTTGGCTTTTTGTCCTGTTAGATCATCTTCATCATAATTCATCCTATTTGGCTTTGAAAGCGGCTCCATAGTTGGTGCTTTTTGTCTCAAATGGCTGAAGTTTCTCAGATCAGGATATATTAGTCTTGTGTTTGCCAAAAGGAGTAAAGCTGGTAAGCGTGGCAGGATGTGACACCAAAATAGATGTGAATAGCACAGTTCTGGGAGCCCTTCCATTTTTCTGAAACCTCATGAGTTTTTCTACTTACCTGTGAAAAGGCATGTTTTACAGGGAGATCTTGAACTCTGATATCTGTTATATTTAAAATGTTTCTGTACACAAGTACAGAGGACACTACACTGAGTTTCATTCCTGCAAAATAAGTTTTCATTGTTTTTGGATAGGAATTTGAAATGCCATCTCTCCCAGCTTCAAATTCAGTACTTAGTTTTGAAGTTGAGAGGTGGCAAGAGCCAATAAACTTCACCAAAGATTTGCTGCGAAGACAGTACTGAAGGATTAAAAAGAAAAGAAAGCCAATCAGTACCCACTGTGGCTGTAAACTTCACTTTTCTTTGTTTTTACCCCTTTCAATAGAGATTCTGAACAATTTCTCTTCTCAATTTGAAACGAGAGTTGTTTTGTAGTTTTTCTTCCAAAGAACATGAAACTAAAGTTCTCTCTGTCCTGCTATCATCTTATTGTCTGAAATTACCAGCAGATGAGACTGCAGAGTCTCTAAGGACTAAATAAGAAAGCCTTGCAGTAGAGAGACAACATTTGATGTGTTAGTGTCGTGTTATAGCTGAGGAATTGGCCATGTTGACTATGCTTGACCATGCTGCAGTTCTATTCGATGAAAAATGGAATGGTTTGTTATAATATTTGATTACAGGTAAAGGTAAATCTTCTGACTTTGTATTGTCAGAAGAAAGCAGCAGTAAGCTATGTGTATTTTGAGGGTTACTTGGGTTTTAGTTGTCTGCTTTAATTCTTAGTGCAGTATGGATTGTTATATTACGAGCAAACTTGGCTCCTTAAGGGGTTAAAGTGCTGAAAGTTGTGATAAACCACTGAAGTTTGTGGATAGATCCTTCTTATTTTACTTGACTAAACCCTGACCATTTTCATATTGTTCTGTTCTCTCTTCCATTTCTCAGTTCAGTTTTTGGTCCAGTTGTGTTGAGTGGAAACAGAACCCTTCTCTCTGCCATGAGTTCAAAAGCTGTCAGGGTTTTGTGGCAGGTGATGTTGTCGTGCAGGTGTTAATTGTGCATCAGGACTCTGTCATTACGCTTTGTGCTTGACAAAGTGAATATAAAAATGTCAGAATTATGCTTCCCGTAAGGTAGGCACACAAGCCCATTCTGCTCAAGTTTAGTTGTCTGAGATGTTTTGACTCAAGCAAACATTCCTGCACACCTGTGAGGAGCTGTGAGTGTGCCTGTCTGTGTTCCAATGTGCCATGGTGTGTTGGTTTGGGAAAAGACTTGTTATCTCAATGCGTCATTGGATAACTCTGCTTTTGGGATAGCTGAAAGAGTTGATTCTTCTCTGAGCCACTGTTTTTGTATCTGTAACATTGCTTTCCCTTTAGAATTTGCTTCATATTGGGGCTTAAAATGCTTCGTAAGAATCAAGATATTAACCATTATTCGCAAGGTTTTTACTTGTACTTAAATAAAATCATATTTTGTATCTGGGAATTAAATTGTGTGTATTTCTTATCTCATGCACTGTAGGTGAGTGTTGCAGCAAAGATGGCTCAAAGAATGTCCTTTGGCTTTTATAAATATAACAACATGGAGTTTGTCCGAATGAAAGGGCCCCAAGGGAAAGGACATGCAGAGATGGCAGTGAGTAGAGTTCCTACTGGCGACACTTCACCTTATGGAACTGAAGAAGATTCAAATCCAGACTCCCCAGTTCATGAGAGAGTAAGTAGGCTCAGGTTAAGCATATGTTTTACTTCAAAGTCAGTTGAGGGACTAAAGCTGGAATTGTCTGACATGATGGTTCTGACCTTAGTTTTGCATGTGTGTATTTTGAATATATTCAGTGTATCACAGAATCACAGAATGGCCGGGGTTGAAAAGGACCTCAAAGACCATCAAGTTTCAACCCCCCTGCTATGTGCAGGGTCTAGTGGTTACTAGACCATGCTGCCCAGAGCCAGGTCCAGCCTGGCTTTGAATGCCTCCAGGGATGGGGCATCCACAACCTCCTTGGGCAGCCTGTTCCAGTGTGCCACCACCCTCTGAGTGACAAGCTTCCTCCTAATATCCAGCCTTAAGCCTCCCTTGTCTTTGTTTAAAACCATTCCTCCTTGTCCTATCACTATCAACCCATCTAAACAGTTGTTCTCCCTCCTATTTATACACTCCCCATGTGCAGATGGATTTTAGTCACAGTTTTCCTTGATCAAATACTGAATACAGAGAAGAATGCATGATTCATATTTCTGGAGGAGTGTTTTGTTGAAACAACAGCAGTGTTGATGCTGAAAATGATGGAGCTGCCTATTTTCTATGAAAATTAATTCCATTTCTGTACAAGATGGGGTTTACCTAGAAACATGGAATTTGTGTATGGTGTAGCTTTCTTACTAAACCTCCCAGGTAACTTTTGAGGAGTTTTATGGAGAGATTTTGCCAGCAGCAGGAAGATTGTAATATTAAAGCAAGGACTATACATCTAGATGCAGAACTGTGATTATGCATATGCTGAATTCTAAAGCAAGCGCAGTAAAATATGAATGAAGTATCCAGAGATTCTGCTTTGGCCCTTAATCAATCCTACACATTGTTTTTAGTAATGATATTTAACCTAGTTAATGGGGATTAGACAGCGTTTGCCTTCAAAATATCTGTACAGGTGTGTCCTGACCCAGGCTGTGTGATTACTGATTCCCACATAACATCACTAAGCCTGTAGTTGATAGACCCACAGAGCTGCTTTCAGATGTGCCCATGGAAGAGTATGACTTCTGGATTCTTAAAAGGCCAGATGAGCAGTCACACTGAACACATTAATTGAATGTGTGTCTTCTGTACTGTAGAGATACAGTCTGTGGAAACCATGCCTGGTGGGAATTCCTGGGCTGATAGCTACCAGGCTTCCAGTGTCTCTGATGATGTATCGTTGTTACTCTTTGCTAATGGTTTTGATGGCCTTTTGTCTGCTTCTGGTTTACCCTCCAGGTGTGATAAGAAATGACTATGGAATTAAAAAGAAATTGAGACAAGCATAGATTAAAGATCAAGTGCAATTATGGGAGGATCATTTGGGTGATTGAATGCCTTTTTTTTTTTTTAAATATATGTTAATGAAAGAGGGATAACATAAGGGCTTCTTCAGTGCAACACCAATGTGGTTTAGCTATCATTCTCCACTGCATATCACTTCCCTCCATATTTACAAGGACAATTACAAGCAGTATCAGATCTCATTTTAGGAAACGTTACAGGGTTGTTAAATCAACAGTGTGAGAAAGGAAGGCTGAGATGAAAGAAATTATTTCTATAGAGAAATAATACACGTACAGTTGAGCATTGATTGGGCTTTTGTGTCATGTTCTTGGGTTAGGTAATTGCCTGGTGACCCTGCTTCACAGTGACGTTTACGGTGATCTCATGTGGCATCCATTTAACCTGGGAAACAACTACCTTGTGCTTACATGATGATGCACAGTTCTGTGTTCACTAAGTATGTTCTTAGCTTATTAAGTCTTCTGCATTTCAACACGCAAAAATAAGATTGATGTTGTTGGTGCCTAAATAAGTTATTAATCCTTTGTGATCATAAATTTTTGTGTAATGTGATCACATGACAGCTCTGAAGAGAAAGGGTTTTTTCATTATTTTATTTTTCACGTGACAGCTAAGGGTGCTGATGCATCAAAATATCTTATTTCGATGAGCAGCTTGAAGCTGAGGTGACTCTGCAGTTGACATTCTCTGACCACTATGCTAAAACTTGCAGCTAGATGCCAGTTGTTTTAAATGTGACTGCCTTGTGACACATTTCAGACTAAAACATTCTATGCTTCTAATAAGACATGAGCAAAATTTTCTCCAGCATTTCTTCTATTCTCTTTCAGCTCACGTCTTTCAGCACACCACCAACCCCAGAACGCAACAATCGCCCATCCTTTTTCTCCCCATCTCTTAAGAGAAAAGTGCCCCGAAATCGAATTGCTGAGATGAAAAAATCCCACTCAGCGAATGACAGTGAGGAGTTCTTCAGAGATGATGATGGTGGAGGTGAGACAAGTAACATCAGCTAAACAGACTTTCAGAGAGAAGGGAAAAACACATCTGTGGAAAGGGATCCCAATGCTGGATTTTTCAAAAGGTTTGCAGCATGAAAAACACAGCTCCACAGAAAGTCCAACTGTGGTGCCACTCCAAAACTGGGTTCACAGATTTAGCATCTATATGAAGGCGGAAAACCAATTTGTCTCCATGTTTAATTATGTAAAGGCTACAGTGTGGATCAGTTACTATGTAGTATGATGGGAAGAGCAGCTTTCCCATATGCAGTCCTACTGTCCCAATTTTTTTTTCCTGGAGGCTGCAGAAGATAGGCTGGGGTTCAAAGCTTTTATCCAGCAGCTTTCCATCCAGGTGATGGTGCCTGCTCAATATACTAGGTCTGATCCTAGAATGGTAATGGTCATAATGATGAACATTCTTATTATTTTCATTTTCAATTCCTTTAAAAACGTTTGAGTGGAAAAATGACTGATTTTTCCAAACATTTTATAGCATGCAAATATTAGAGCTTACGTATAAAATATTGAGATGTGTGATTTTGTTTACAGTTGTGGATGTTTTGACCTTACTGTTCCTGGGCCTTATTTAAAAATACATGTATATAGCTTTTAAAATGAGTATTTTAAAAGCTTATGCTAGGAAGTTTAATTTACTTTAGAATGGGCTTTCTGAAAGAAGCAATACCTACATTAGATTTCTTAATAAACTGTAGAAACCTGAATGTCTTACCAGTGTTTAATCAGGCACTGCAGTAATGAAATTCCATTATTGTTATTACTATTTTTTTTTTTTTTTACCCAGAAGGGAAAAAGCTGACCTTATTTCACCCAAAGTTGGGATTATTGTAGGGAAATTCTGCTATCTCTTGGCCTTGTTGGTGGAGAATAACTGGCTTGTTTGACGGTCAGTAGTGTTCTGGATCTGCTGCTGCAGATCTGACCCCAATACAGACAGACCTGATGTGCACATGAACTGCCCGAGAGACTTCACTTGATTTTGCTGTGTGCAAGCATGACGCAGCAGGAGAGTTGATCCTATTATAGCTACCAGAATTAGGTCATTCTGACCTGATCACTGTGGTGCTGTTGACGTAGTTCTAATATGTGGGAAGAGGGAATAGACTGGCCGTATGTATTTATAGGGAAAGAAATCAACATTTTCTAATCCTATGTTATGTGCTGCTGCTTTTTTCTTTGGTAAGGCCTCTGGTTGATCAGAACCTATTTTTTAAGCAAGTGCTGCTCAGAGCTTGGATCAGACTGATTCAGGAATATGTTTACTTCATGTGCTTTTTAGTGCTGTGGGTTAGGGCTAAGTTCGACAGAGGAATGGAGAGTACACTTAAGAACACTGGGATGATGTAACTCATGCATTTGTGCTTACAGCTATAAAAATCTTGAGCTTACAGGGGTTTCAGTATTTTTTTTGTTTTAAAGTATATTTGTGGATCTCGAAACTAACTTTGGCAGAAGGATCCCTGGTTTGGTTTGGGGAATGCATGGAGACCACAGTGAAATTGCTTACTAATACTGACTCTCCTTGCATCTTGTAGATTACAATATTTTTCATAAGATGGAATTTTGTTTCTGTTACACTTCAACATGAACAACTACTTTGTAAGGATATTCTATTATTTTATATACGAAGGAGGGCTTGCATAGGATTTTGCCTGTGCAGGTTCTTCCTTCCTCCTCCCTTTCTAGCTGGCCTATTAGTGGATGATGGTTTACTGCTGCTGCCAGCTGTTGCTGTAGTTCATTAGCTTCAATGTAAATAGTGAGTTCTGTATTGGGCATGTTCTAACTAATTTAAAAATAAGTGGCATGCCTGTGTGATTCACCTCTTGAAGGTGAATAGTTGGGTTTCCTTTTTTTTCTTCGGCTTTCACAAGCTTTCATTGAGTCTTACAGTGAATTACAGAAAGTACAATCACTTTAAAATTTGCTGTCTTCTACCTTTACAGATCTGCACAATGCAACAAATCTGAGGTCACGTTCCTTATCTGGAACAGGACGGTCTCTGGTGGGCTCGTGGCTGAAACTGAACAGAACAGATGAAAATTTTCTACTCTATGCACACTTAACTTACATCACTTTGCCATTGCATCGAATTTTAACAGGTGAATTTTAAGATGCATTACCTATAAACAGAATTGTTTGGTTCTCCCAGGTTGCCCCTGTGTTGTGGGATTTTACTACTAAGATAGAGGAACAAGCTTTTTTATGAAAGGAAACGTAACCTCAACAAACCCCATTTGCTGACTGTAGCAGCAAATCAGTGTGAACAAGCAGAATGGTGTCAAATTGTTCTCAGGCTTTGAGCTGATTTTCCTTTGTGAGGGTTCAAACAAGATGGTAGTTTTTTACTTCTGGAGGAGTGTTAGTGGCTTTAATACTGAGATATAAAGTTCATCTACTTCCTGAATGCAAGGCAATTCATTCTGTGCCTGTCCACTGAGCAATAGATGTATATAGCAGAGACCTTTGACTGAAAGGGCTATGGAAAGGTAGCTTTGGAATTTAGTGACCTCCTCTGCCAATGCAGAGTCCTAGATTTGTTTTCTAATTGAGTTTCTTGGATTGATCCAGGAGTCCACAGTGCCTGTAAGTCTTCTAGGCACCCGATTTCTTTAACGGGACTAAATGATTTTTTTGTGTGTCACACCATGAACAGTCAGTCCTGTGTTGATGGTCTAGCGCTGCCAATTACTATATTGATGATAGTCAAGTCTATGTTTGCTCAGGATTTTCAGAGTGCATTTGCAACCCAGAAGGCCAGCTGTATCCTGGGCTTCATCAGAAGAGGTGTGGCCATCAGGATGAGGGAGATGATTATCTGTGCCCTCATGAAGCCCCATCTGGAGTGCTGCAATCCAGGCCTGGGACCCCCAGCACAAGAAGGATGCAGAGCTATTGAAGCAGATCCAGAGGAGGGTTATTAGAAAGGTTACAAAGCGCTGGAGGATTTATCTCTCCTGGGAAGATGAATTGAGGGAGCTGATCTTGTTCAGGCTGGAGAACAGAAGGCTCTAGGGAGACCTCATCATGGTCCTTCCAGTTCCTGAAAGAAGCTTGTAAGCAGGACGGGGAGCAACTTTTTACGTGGCCTAATAGTGATAGGACAAGGGGAAATGGCTTTAAATTAAAAGGAGAAACATTTAATTTGGGTGTTAGGAAAAAGTTCTTCACTCAGAGGGCGGTGATGCACAAGTTGCCCAGAGAAGCTGTGGACGCGCCATCCCTGGAAGTGTTTAAGGCCAGGTTGAATGGGGCCCTGAGCAGCCTGAGCTGGTGGGTGGCGACCCTGCCCACAGTGGAAGGGTTGGAGCTCCATGTTCTTTAAGGTCCCATCCAACCTAAGCTATTCTATAATTCTATGACTAAGGTATCACAGTCAGTTGTAGTTTTCAACCTGAAGGCAGGTAACTGAGGTTTCAATTTTTTACCCAAATAATCCTTGTATGCCTAAAATTGCAGATGAACCAAGGAAAACTATTTCAGCAGGCGTGCTAGCCTCTCTGGGATATAGCTAGCAGTATGAGGGAGCTCCTGGGACTCTGGGATACTTTAACACTATCGCTTTCTCATTTTTTTTTTTAAGCATTCTCTTCTCTGTAAGTAAACTGTAGCTGATAAGGTAGAAAATTATACTTACAGATGCTTCTATATTATTTGCCATTTCACTGCATATAGGATAGGAGTTGATTTCAACTGAGAAGAATTTTAAAATTTCCAGTAAGAATTGATCCTCCTATAATTAAAAGTGGATTTTTATTTGTTTCAGCAAAATATATAATTATTAGTTACAACAATTGTGTTGGCATTGTTATAGCTAATTAGCTGGTGTTATCAAGCTTGCTCTCTCTCTTGCCAGAGGCATTTTAGAGTTCACACACAATGCATTGTTCCTGTTGGCACATAATACTTGCTCAAGTGATGGCACAAATGCCTCCATGCTCAAATACTTGCTTTTAGCTTGAATGTACTTTCTGAGACTTAATTTATTTGACATATGGTTGCAGGAGTCAGTGCATATATCGAGACACACAGAAATAGGACGTAAAATGTCTGGGTTATAAGGCAGGATTTTAATGTGCAGTTCTTCACTGTCAGTGTTTACTTTAGCATGGCACATCAGGTAGAGCCTATTTGCAGTCCTTCGTGTAGTGAATGCATTAGTGTCGTGCTAGCTTTCCTACAGGAGGGGAGCATTACAGAGAGATGTTGATCTCCCCTTGGTAGCTGAGGGAAGCCTGTACTGCAAAATTAAAATCCTAGGGATGGGGATCAAAGTCAAAAATATCTGGACTTTGTGTATTAATAAGACTTCCTCTGCTCTGGGCCTTCTATTCCTTCATGCTAAACAACCCAACTCTCAGCCTTTCCTTGCATGTCAGAGGGTCCAATCCCTTAATCGCCTTTGTGGCTCTTTACTGGATTACTCCACTACATCTCATTTTTTTTTTTTTAATAAGTGTGACTCAAACCCTCTGGAGCCATGGATCAGTTTTTTTTCTCGTGTCACCTTCTGTGTGCAGATGTGTGTGACCTGCCTCTTAATTAAGCATGTGCTCCCTTTTTCCACATTCTTTTTTTCTCCACGTAGCCTGGAAAAAGACCTAGCAGCCCAGTTTCCAGATGTTTCTACATATTTCCATGCCAACACTTTAGTTTTATTATTTGGGAAGATGACTATGATCAGACAAGTATCTTGAAGGTTAATATTCTGTCACACTTCGACAGTATAGAACTGAGGAGCCAACACATGGGATCAGCCTTTAGAATGCAGGAATGTAGACTTCAGGCTATAAAATAGATGAGACTGTTAAATTGCTTGTATGCACATCTTCAGAGCCAAAAGTCGTCTTAAGGTTTTTGAGGATGGTGCATTTCTCCTTTCAAGAACAAAAATAATTGGTATATCCTTTCATGCTTAAACTTTTTTTCTTTGGAAGATTGCCACTCTCTCCATGTTGAGACACATGTTGTTTCATGCCGCTATAAGTGATACTTAGGTCAGATATATCATGTCTGTGTGATGGGATATACTTGAGACTTAGCATTTAGCATCTTTCAGGTAGGGAGAAATTGGATCAGACTTCATTTATAGGCAAAATTTCATGCTAGCTGTGTTTTGAATTCTGTGATGTAACAAGGGGTGTATGCTGCAGTCCAGAATTGCTTGTGTGGTGGCTACTTCCAGGTCCTCCTAAGTGTGCTGTTTCTTTTTATTTCTCTCCCAGATATCCTGGAAGTGCGGCAGAAACCAATTCTGATGACATAGCAGAGAGCGGGCACAGCCTTGGAGCCTTGTTGCCAAGTGCCTAACCTCAGCAGTTTTCTGTGCTAACACTACCATCTAGTGTCAGGAACATAAACCTCCGCAGAAAAAGGGAAGTCAAAGAATACCAGCCGATCAAAAGTGCCTCTTTCTTCCTTCCTCTGCTGTCATACACCATATGCACACTTGCAGTACATCACTTGAGTGTTTCCGACTGGAAGAGGACTTTCAACAAAACAAAAGAAGGGGCTGTGTCTGAAACGTGTCATTGCTTTATGAACAGTTTATTACTATGTTTACTTTATAACTAAGAAACCAACAACGTGTACAGAATGTGTTAAACTTTATATTCTTTGAAAGAAACAATTTCATAATGATGTACTAATGAGCGTTGTTCCATTGACTCTTGCCCATACTCTCCTTGTTGGATTGGCTTCCTGTGTGTGAGCGTGTGTATGTGTTGAGACTGAAGGGATAAGGCGAATTCCTGCTGAGGGAGGAAAAGGGAAAAGATGCTATAAAAACACATTGCCACTTGGTTATGTGCAGTGGGTTAGGTTAGAGATTGAAAGAGGCTTAAAATGTTCCCATTTGTTCATGTGTCAGTGTTAGGACAGGAGAACTCTGCTGACAAATTCTTGTATCTACCAAAGAACAGCAACATTTTCATCCTCAAGAACCGGTGAAGAAACCGAGCCAGGGAAGAGAAGGCTAAAATGTGCTGCTATAGTAAAGCTAAGGTTCATATCCACTACTAATGCTGCTTATCTCTTTTAGCTGAGTCCATGCAAGTCAGAGGCTAATGTGGAAAAACTGGAAACCTCACGTGAACTCCAGAAACATAAATCTTATTGATAACCAACATCCTCCTGCATGCACTGGACCATAGTACAAAAAGTTGTCCATTACTGGACCATAGTCCACAAAAGTTGTGGTAGTGTTTGTGGCCAAGGAAGGTATGAGAGCTAATTAATGTCTGGGCAGCTTTTCCAGATTCTTCTTTTCCTGGTCGCGTTCTGCTGTACTGTTACGTGCTGAAGCACAAGGAGTTTTCTTTCGAGGCAGAAGGTTTAAATGTGATCCTGCTCTGAAAAGTGACTAAAAATGTCATAGTGGGAGGTTTGAAAGTTGTGTCAGGAGATCTCAGGAAAAACGCCTTATGTTTACAGGTAAAATGCAGCTTTCTCAAAACAGCACAACTGCTGTCCTTGACACGTGAAATCTAAGTAATGAGATGTTGAGTCTACTGCAGCTGGATTCACCACATTGATGTGGAAGCTAGCCATAGGTCACTTTATTTATAGCTGCCTAACTGGTGAAGCAAAGCGTGGGATAGCATGTCACTTAGAGCATGAGGCACTCTGATATACGCACAAAGATCTGTAGAGAGTGGAGGTGCCATTTTTCTCACTTTTTGGACGCTGAGCACCTGAACTCTAATGCTGGTGCCGTACTTACCAATATGATGTGTGCTCTGAGCCTGGGCCTTTTGTCTCCCTCAAACTCAACCTTTCCCGAAGTGCTGTGTTATTCTCTCAGTAGCATCTGATGATTTAACCTGTCAGATAGAACTTTCTGCTTTTTTCCTCAGACCAAGTTCCATAGGAATAGCTCCACTTCAGCATTAAAGATAGATTAACTGTCATTCAGTCCAACGCAATGAATCCAGCGTGGTAAGGTGGTCTTTTCTTGTTTGAGGCTAGACCTGGGAGCAGTCACCTTTGTCCAAAGTGATGGCATTTCTGAAACTGGCAGCGTGAGTGCGTAACAGGGACATCTGACCATTTTCTACTTGCTGCAGATGTTTTATGACAGCATTAGAAAAAAAAAAAATTACTTTCATTGCCAGCACGGCCACTTTGCCTGTTGCAGACTGAGTTTTACTCTGTAGGAGTGTGCACTTTGTGTGAGGCTGTTCATGCAGTCTAACTTGAGGCATGTAGGTGAGATATCTGGGCAGTCTTACCAGAGAGGTGGACTCCTGAAAGAGCAACTGAAATGTTCTCTCAGGGAACTTCATAGGCAGCCCAGGTGCTTGCTTGAGATCCCTGACAGTGCACCTAATGCCAGACAGCTCAAGTACTCTCCTTCCTTATGTCCATGCCAAGAAGTCTTCAGCTAGGAGGCCTGTCCTACTCAGAAGCCTCTGAAGATGTTCCATATTCTGCATTTTCATATTGGATTGAAAGGCAGTGCTGTTTCCTTCAGATAAACACTAGGGAGGGAGGGGAGAGAGGGTTAGTATTTGTACTGCTGCTGACAATTGATAACAGTTTGATCAAACAGAAACAATGAACACTGATTGGAACCTGAGTGGTAGGTGCTTGAGTACTGCCTAGTCAAAAGTAACTTTTAATGCATTTTGATACCAGTGTGTTAAGTTTGGACAGCTTGATTTCATGTGGTCTGAAAGACTTGAACAGAACTTGCATAAGATTTTAGGCAAATGGCAAATGAGGAAAGATTCTGAAGTAGCAGAAAGGCAATGTTAGAGAAAGGACCTCAAGTCTACTAAGCAAGAAGTAGTGTTTGCTTTGTTATGTGTATGTGGATGAATCTGGTGTCTGGTTTTTGAAGGGCTGAATGTGAAAGTCCTGTAGAAGAGTTAATTGATGTATTTTATCCTGCTAGCAGATGTGCAGTATATGCATTGAAGACTCAACTTTTTTAGTACAAAAGGGCTACAGGTATGCCCAGATGGATATTGCTGGTAAACAGAGATCAAAACATGTATTGAATGTCTGATACTTTTGGGAGCAAACTAGATTTACTCCATTCTCAGCTATTCAGTCTTTAAACACCTGACTTACAGTTCTTGTGTGTGATGAATTTCCTTACTTCGTTATCAGGTGAGAGGGGGAAAAGTTATGTATTTTATTTTGCTTTTAAGTAATCCCTAAAAATTTGTAATCTGTTATCCTCATACAGACACACTGACAGGGAAGATGATACAAGTTTTGTCTGGGTCAGGGTGGCACAGCTGGGCTTTTAGCTTGCTATTGCACTATACCAAAAAGTTATGTTATGTTTGCAAAAAGTTATGTTAGTTAGAATGTTAGTTAGAAACCTCTCACCCTTTTATTTTGGGGGGAGGGAGGTAAATTCTATGCTCTGAAGCACTAAGCCAATAGATTTGGGCCTGTGTTGGCCACTTAAATTGCGGAGAAATGATCTGGAATTTTCTGCATGCTGTGAGGACTGCAGCCATATGTGGCTGTTGATGTCCTGACTGTTGTAGTGTGGCGGTTTTCATTGTATTTATGTTGATGCTTGACAACAGCTCTATCTGAGAGGGCAGCACTGTTAACGAACTGGTGTTGCTTTGCAGAATCGTTTTATTTATTTACAGAATCTCACCATCCCTCAATACTGAGTTAGCTTCCCTCATCCTGTCCATTCACTCTCTCTGGGGACCTGAGGCTTACCGCTTCAACTCTTCACTGATGTTGCATTTGATGTCTGACAATATACAAGGTTGTATATTTTTTCAGCCTGCACAGATTTTTCACTCTTATAAATTTAGCATGTAGAAAGCCTTTGAGTTGTAAAGAAAGCTCTTAAATTACTTGTTTTATATTAGCAGATTATTGCTTTGCCTTAGAGACCACAGTGTATGTAAAATCACATTCTCTTAGTGCCAGCCAGCACAGGATGGGATCCAAGTCTCCTTTGAAAAGAAGCCATTTCTAGAAATTCAACAGATCTTTCAGCTGTCTTGGCAAATCCAGTTTGTGTAGGTTCACGTTCCTTCTTTTTTGTTCTCTTAGGCTTTGTTGTTTACAAGGCTTGAGCATGTTGAGATGTGAATCTGTGTTACCCAGTTTTCCATTTCTGGGCACAGTGTGCTTTCCTGGAAAGAGAGTTGTTTGCAAGAGTGATTTTTCAGCATACAGTGTTTAGCCTGAAGTGTGTTATTTTACCATGTTTTAATTTAACAGTTGGGTCCTTGGTTTTGCAAACAGATTTCTTCTGGCAGACCCTCATGTGCAGAGTCCTGTGCTAGTCACTGAGGTTCTCTATAGACATGAAGTCTGCATAAAGAGTCTACATGTTTAAGCTATTCAGCTGTTTCTTGCCAATCACGAATGTTCCACTTCCCAGATGATTGCTTGCCCTGTAGTCTAAAGCTTCCCCTTATTAAAGATGTAAAATCTTTAAAAGTGCCTAAGTCCTGTCGTTACCCAATGAGGTTTAAGAGTGAATTTTTATTTACGAACAGAATATGCTTAAATTCTGTGTGGTGTATAGCAGTGTCAGGAAATAAGTTTATAGTTCTTGGAAGAGCTCTCCATCTCCTACAGACTCGCCCTTCCTGTTAGGTTCTCATCGTCTTCAGAAGTCATGGCTGAAAGCTCTGGAAAATTGAAATCTTGCAATCAGAGCAGTTGGATGTCTGTGAATGCCTTATCTTGTCCTGTGTGATATGACTGAAAGTGTATGGCATTGGTATGTAACAAAAATTCTGTGTCAAAAATAGGTGCAGTAGAATCCAGTGAAAGGCATTGTTAAATAAGTAGCTTTTACACCAAACGTTATGAAACAGTATTTTACACCAGAACTTAGGTGTTTGGATGCTTGGTCAAGAAAATGTAAGGCTGCAAGAAGGTTACAGTGTTGAATGTTCTGTGTGTGTGTGTTTGTGTATATATATATATATAAATACTCTCAGCTTAATTTTATCAAACAAACACGTTGCATGGTTTGTTTTTTGCCTCATTGATCATCAGTGTTGATTAAAAGATGCTGGGTTGGAATCTTGCTGGTACTGTATTGAGCCCTAGAAACAAAGTGCAAGGAGAACCTTTGTGCACCAAAAACAGAGTTGATTTTGCATATGGCAGCAGCAAAGAAGGTGTTGGACCCTGCAGCCAATAAACAGACCTCTTAAACGACCATGAACCTTTAAGCGTTTTCTCTCAACCATGTCTGCTGTTTTTTGAGTTGGAATGTATTCTTTACTGGTAGCACTCTGTGGCACTTCTAACAAGTAATACTTGCCAAATAGACACCTGTGAGAAAAGATAGCCTATTTACTCTTCATTTTTATTCTGCTTTGGGCAAAGCCTAACTTAACTCTGCTTGCTGAATCACATTGTATGAAGGGAAAGAGGGTTCAAATCACTGCTCCCAAATCTGTTTTAAACGTCTGAGTTCTCCATTAGGTAGACACAATAAAAGCAAAATTAAACAAGCAAAAAAAAAAAAAAAAAAAAAAGCCTACTGAAAACAAACAAAAAAACCCCAACAACGAATCAAAAACCAAACAACAGAAAATCAGTTCTTCTAAACAGTTGTTTTCTTTTAAACTAAGCCAGGGTAGCTGTAAGTATTTAGGCTTGACTAGAGTTTAATACTGCTTGGCTACAGGGATTCCTTCCTGA